TGTTGTTCAGTTGCTCTCTGCTTTCACAGAGAGAGCATGTATATTTCTTTTCTGTCTTCGTAGTTAGAAATAAAACACTCTTTGCAATGTAGCACATACTATCTCGGCTCCTTCCCTGCGTGCTGGATGCTCTGCGTAATGGGATAACATGCTTGGAGCCTCATCAAAGGCTCAGGTCGTTAATCACAGACTCGACCGGAAGAGTTGCTTGGTCGAACGCAAGTCCGACAGTCCACAGCATGTTCAGAAGCAGAGAGAGAGACAGGAGCTGAACAGCTAAGGGAGGAGTTGCCCAGGTACGAGATAATGACAAGGGAACCTGAAGGGAGGAGGCAGCTAGTTGAGACTCGGAGGTCTGAACATATCAGAGAGCAAAGAAGTCAGTGGGAGGGAGGAACTTCCCATTGGCACTTAAAATGCTACGGAAGTCGGAAGGAGGATTTAGAGCAGCCAACTGCCCTCCTTGCGGAGAGCTGTGTATTTCTGCTTGCAACATGATGCTGTAATAAAAGGACTTCTTATCTGTGATGTTACCAAAGGGAGAGGAGAACTCTCCACGCCTGACACAACATCACTCTTCCCACTTCCCCTTCCCTTTACTTCTCATGAAAACTCAAGGGATTTGTCCAAATTTCTCCTCTGAGTCCACTAAAATGGACCCCATTTTTGAGAGGAACGTGAGGTAACATCCTGCTTCTGATTCAGTCAATGAATCAGTCAACCAACAAAAAAAGGCTCTCCACCTGATTCAAGGCTTCTCCAGACACCCTGCTGATTCAGCATTCATCCTGATTTACTTGATTCTGTGGTGCTCTATAATAATAATAATAATAATAATAATAATAATAATAATAATAATAATAAAAAAATTTATTTATACCCCGCCCTCCCCAGCCAATGCCGGGCTCAGGGCAGCTAACAAGCAATAATAAAAACAAGTTGAATGAATACAACTTAAAAACAAGATTAAAATACAACATTAAAACCTTAAAACGCAGCCTCATCACAGGAGGAGAAAGGAAAAAGAAAGAGGGGGAGGGAATCAATTTTTTTTATTTTTTTTATTCAAAGTTATAACAAAACATATTTTCCAAAAACATATCCTTATTCCGCCCCCATTTTTCCTCCCCCCACAAAACCCACCCCCCCACCCCACCCCACCAGTCTTCCCTCAGTTCCAGTCTTTGGTTTCTCCAATAATGCTATTTTCTGCATTTTACAGAGCTGTATAGATCCTCCAACTGTTTAGCTAATTATTATCAGTAAAAATGTGGATGTTTATTCAAAACCTGCCAAAGAGTCCAGTTCGCTTTGTTGCGTCTTCAAAAACTTTGTGAAAGGTTCCCATTCATCCTTAAAGTCACAGTTATCCTTGTCCCGTAGTTATATGTCAGTTCTGCCAGTTCTGCATAATCCATCAATTTTTCTTGCCATAATTCTTTAGTTGGGATTTCTTCAGTCTTCCATCCTTGTGCTACCAGAACTCTCGCGGCCATTGTCGCATACATGAAGATGTTTTTCAACTTTTTTGGCAGCTAACAAGCAATAATAGCTCAGGGCAGCTAACAAGCAATAATAAAAACAAGTTGAATGAATACAACATAAAAACAAGATAAAAATACAACATTAAAACCTTAAAATGCAGCCTTATCACAGGAGGAGAAAGGAAAAAGAAAGAGGGGGAGGGAATCCAATTGATTCCAAGCAAAAGGCCAGGCAGAACAACTCTGTTTTACACGCCCTGTGGAAAGAAATCAGATCCTGCAGGGCCCTGGTCTCATGAGGCAGAGCGTTCCACCAGGAGCTGAAAATAGAGTTGAAAAGGCCTTGGCTCTGGTTGAAGCTAATCTAACTTCCTTAGGGCCCAGGACCTCTAGGGTGTTGCTATTTGTGGACGTTAAGGTCCTCCGTGGGGCCTACCTGGAGAGGCGGTCCCATAGGTATGAGGGTCCTAGGCCGTGAAGGGTTTTAAAGGTCAAAAGCAGCACCTTAAATCTGACCCTGTACTCCACCGGGAGCTAGTGCAGCTGGAAAAGCACTGGGTGAATATGCTCCCATGCCAGAGACCCCGCGAGGAGCCTCACTGCAGCGTTCTGCAGCCGCTGGAGTTTCTGGAACAGCTTCAAGGGCAGCCCCACGTAGAGCGAATTACTGTAGTCAAGCCTGGAGTTGGCCGTCGCATGGATCACTGTGGCCAGGTCGGGGCAGGAAAGGTAAGGGACCAACTGCTTGAATCCTTCCTGCAAAATATTGACTGTCTGGAGGCACACTCTGATTTCATAGGTTCCAGTTGCCCCCATATGCCAGGACCATGAACTTAGGTGCTTATCAGTTGAAGGTGCAGAAGCAGCTGATGCTGAAGTCCTGACTGAAAATGAGAATGCTGCAACTGAGAATGTTATGATTGTGCAAAGTAGCATTTAAAAATCCAAACCTAAAAGGGGGTAAATAATGCAGCTGGCTGTAAACACAGCTGAAACACAATCTCATGAAATGTTCATGATGGTGAAAGTTGTGGTCACAGTTTCACTATGGTGTCAGTCCCCCTTCAGTGAGGCTGATGGGCCTTTCCTCTCTCCTACAGTTCGCTAATGGAAGGTAGTTAAGCATCTCAGGGTGGACTCGTTTTATTTTCTGTGCTGGAAACAGCTGAGAGTTTAGATGCAGAAAGAATTAGAAACATTGTTTTCATTCAGTGGAGGGGCACTTTTTTATCCCAGTGGTGATCGTGGGAAATTCTGGAATGTCCTGTCCTTCCTGGCTGCCATTCGTGAAATCAATCAGGACCCCAGGCTCTTACCCAACGTCACCCTCGGCTATGTCATCTATGACCATTATTCTGATGCAAGCATGACTTCTGATGCCCTGCTAGACCTGCTCTCTACTGGGCACGCAGACATTCCAAACTATGGCTGTGGGAAGAGGAATAACCTGTTGGCTGTTCTTGAAGATGCAGAAGCTGATATTTCTAGACATATGTCACCTGTGTCAAGCATCTACAAAATCCCACAGGCATGGCTGCTTTGGTGTTAAGACGGAATTGTGCCTCTGCCATGGGCTTTTCATGCTTTCCTTTTGGACTCTCCCAAAGGTGAGGGTGGGATGGAACCTGGAAGCAGGAGCACTCAACACTGGTGTCAGATGCCCTATGCCACCCCACCACTGCTTTTAAAAACCATGTTGCCTGTTTATAATGCATTCAAAACACAGTTTTTTGAGTAATGTAGCTGAGTCCCTAGTCTAATATTCTGGGATGTGATTCAGTCCCACAAAATATTGAGAGTCTGGAGGCATTCTGGAAGACCTCCTCCCGTTCTACACGGCCAGCATTTTGTCTTGTTCTTTGTGTGCATGTGTTGGGGGCTGTAGTTGGTCAACTGTCTGAGATTTGTCCTGGAACCACAGCAAAGCACTCACCTCTCCCTTTGTGTCCTGGGCAAGTTATGGATACACTGTTCCTACTATTCATGATAAAACCCAGTTCCCCTTTTCTACAAGATGGCCCCAAAAGTAGATCCCCAGAATCTGGGGATTGTCCAACTGCTCCTGAATTTCAGATGGATGTGGATTCCCATATTGCGTGGGAAAGACCTTAAAACAATAACAATAACAATGATTTATTTATACCCCATCCATCTGGCTGGGTTTCTCCAACCACTCTGGGTGGCTTCCAGCGAAATATTAAAATACAATAATTCATCACATATTAAAAGCTTCCCTAAACAGGGCTCCCTTGAGATGTATTCTCAAAGTCAGACAGTTGTTTATTTCTTTGACATCTGGTAGGAGGGCATTCCACAGGGCGGGTGCCACTACCGAGAAGGCCCTGTAATTTCACTTCTCGCAGTGAGGGAGCCAGCAGAAGACCCTGGGAGTTGGACTTCAGTGTGCAGACAGAAGGATGGGGGTGGAGACACTCCTTCTGGTATACTGGGTAAAGGCTGTTAAGGGCTTTAAAGGTGAACCCCAACACTTTGAATTCTGTCCAGAAACGTACTGGGAGCCAATGTAGGTCTTTCAAGACCGGTGTTATGTGCTCTCTTCAAAGATAACCCCATATAGAATGTGTTGCAGTAGTCCAAGCGAGTCCTCAACACCAGCTCGCCCCCTGTCACCCAAGAACAGCACTTCTGTCTTGTCAGGATTCAACCTCAATCAGTTACCTGCCATCTATCTCCAACGGCCTCCAGACACTCACACAGGACCTTCAGCACTTTCACTGGTTCTGATTTAAAAGAGTTAGAGCTGGGTATCATGTGCATACTGATGAACACCCAGTCCAAACCACCAGATGATCTTTCCCAGCGGCTGCATGTAGATGTTGAAAAGCATGGGGGAGAGGACAGAAGCCTGAGGCACCCCACAAGTGAGAGCCCAGGGGTCTGAACACTCATTCCCCACCCCACTTTCTGAACACGGCACAGGAGGAAGGAGTGGAACCACTGTATAACCCTCAGCTCCCAGCTCCGCTAGACGGTGCAGAAGGATGTCGTGGTCGATGGTATCAAAGGCCACTGAGAGCTCCAGCAGAACCAGGAAAAACCTTTCACCTTTGTCCCTAGCATGCCGGAGATCATCGACCAGCACAACCAAGGCAGTTTCAGTCCCAATATGAGGCCTGATTCCTGATTGGAAGGGATCCAAATGGTCCCCATCCTCCAGGCATGCCTGGAGTTCTTCAGCAACCACCTGCTCAATCACATGAATTTCTTCAAGGGAAGCTAGACGCCTCTTGGGAGAGAAGCTGTTTCCACATTTCTAGACACTTCATGCCCTGTACGGTGGTACCTCAGGTTACAGACGCTTCAGGTTACAGACTCCACTAACCCAGAAATAATACCTCGGATTAAGAACTTTGCTTCAGGGTGAGAAAAGAAATCGTGAGGCAGCAACATGGCAGCAGCGGGAGGCCCCATTAGCTAAAGTGGTGCTTCAGGTTAAGAACAGTTTCAAGTTAAGAATGGACCTCCAGAATGAATTAAGTTCGTAACCTGAGGTGCCACTGTATGAGTTCTTTGATGGTGGATGAGACCTGCCCTCCTTCTGAAACTCTTTCCACATTCCAAGCACTGATAGGGTTTCTCACCAGTATGAATTCTTTGATGCAAAGTGAGTCTGTCCTTCCGACTGAAGTTCTTCTCACATTCCGAGCACTGATAGGGTTTCTCCCCTGTATGAATTCTTTGATGGGAAGTGAGTTGGGTGCTCTGACTGAAGCTCTTCCCACATTCCAAGCACTGATAGGGTTTCTCCTCTGTATGAATTCTTTGATGGGAAGTGAGATGCGTTCTCTGACTGAAGCTCTTCCCACATTCCAAGCACTGATGGAGTTTTTCTCCAGTATGAATTCTTTGATGGGAAGTGAGATGGGTGCTCTGACTGAAGCTCTTTCCACATTCAAAGCACTGATAGGGTTTCTCCCCTGTATGAATTCTTTGATGGGAAGTGAGATTGCTGCTCTGAGTGAAGTTCTTTCCACATTCTAAGCATTGGTAGGGTTTCTCCTCTGTATGAATTCTTTGATGGGAAGTGAGACTGTAACTGTGACTGAAGCTCTCTCCACATTCAAAGCACTGAAAGGGTTTCTCCCCTATATGAATTCTTTGGTGGGAAGTGAGATTGCCGCTCTGAGTGAAGTTCTTTCCACATTCAAAGCACTGATAGGGTTTCTCTCCTGTATGAATTATTTGGTGGGAAGTGAGACTGTAACTGTGACTGAAGCTCTTTCCACATTCAAAGCACTGATAGGGTTTCTCTCCTGTATGAATTCTTTGGTGGGAAGTGAGACTGTAACTGTGACTGAAGCTCTTTCCACATTCCAAGCACTGGTAAGGTTTCTCTCCTGTATGTATTCTTTTGTGGGAAGTGAGAGTCCCACTCTGACAAAACCTCTTTCCACATTCCAAGCACTGATAGGGTTTCTCCCCTGTATGAATTCTTTGATGTGAAGTGAGACTGCTCTTCCGACTGAACCTCTTCCCACATTCTGAGCACTGATTGCCTTTCTTCCCGCTTTGAGTTCTTTGGTGGGAACGGGAACTCTGACTGGAGCTCTCTCCATACTCCCAATTTTGATTTGGCTTCTCCACTGTGTGGATTTTGTCATGGTCTCCCCCTTTCTTCATTTCCAATTCATCACCACCTACAACAAAGACAGAAACTAATTAGATCCTCAGGAAGAAACGGAGCCCCCAATTATTGAACAATGCTAATGAAAATTTGTCAAAGAGGAAGAACAGAAGATGTGAGGTCTTTCTACAGAGGCCGTGGCCTTTGTCGACCAGCATTTGTCGACCTCTTTTCTAGGATGGATTTTTGTTGCCACAATCATGAAATCCACTCTAACTCTAACATTGGTCTTCTCTTTAAAATACGGGCAGAGGCTAAAACAGAAACCCAAACCAGACAGAAATTACCTCAACTTCCCTAACAACTCTGTGTGTGAATGTTGCCTCCAAGGTGCTATGGAAAGGGTGACTGTCACTCCAGAAGGCCGTTTTTTCAGTTAGGTCTGGTCTCAACTGTCGAGTGAGAGAGAGGTTTTCTGTGAGAGCACCTGCTGCCTGTTTTATGCTGCTATGTGCCTCAGAAAAAGTCTGTAAAGTCTCATATAGATAGAAGCACTTGTAATTCCCTCTTCATACCTAATGTGGCAGCATTATTTGATGTTGAATTATTTTGGATTTTTGAGCTTATTGTCTTGAATAAAAAATGGAAGAAATGTAGAAATAATCAAAATCAATACATAATAGATATAGATATATTAGATATAAGCACATGCAAACGTGTTTTAGTATATCAAGTAATGTAATGTGTTCTGTATAAACTCTAAACAGAGAATCTTGTGGTGTCTTTTCTAGAATAAAAAAAGCTATGTTTTTCAAGGGTCAAACAACCCAGGGCAACCTCCACACATATAAATACCACAGAAAATGGGTTTGGGGCCCACAAAATCCAGAAAACCATGAATAACCCAGAAAGACAGGTGCAGAGTTGTAAAGTGACACGTTTTACCTCAGAAACTGACATTAACATTTTGACCTCTTTTTTACACAGTGGAATAGGAGAATGAGAACAGTGTTATACAGATTTGAAATGATGCAATGTATTGAGGCAGATGTCTTACTGCCAGAGAAATTCTTCACAATTTAGAGAAAGTTTATAAATTTAGAAGATGTCATCGCAATTTAATAAGAAACTTTTTTGGTCTAAGATATGAAGAAAAGAAAGATTGCCAGAGTCATGTGACAGAATTGTAACTATCATTGAAAAGTTAAAGCTGGCAGAATATTCTATGTCTGAAGAACAGAAAGGGAGCTATATTGTAGGATCTCCTGGGGGGGGGGAATGTATGTATGGAATTTCAAAACTGATCTTATGATCCAACGGGGAGCTTTACCAAGAGCGTCCAGGATCCCACGATTATCCTCCTTGACTTCCTTATGCAGAGTTCGTTGCTTCTACTGCTGTGTGATGGAGCAGTAACTTTTTTGACATTCGTAGGGCATTCAGGCCACGGCACTGGTATTAGACATTTTGTTTTTTTTTTTTTTATAAAATTTTTATTGGTTTTAGAAACTTTTTTAAACAAAAAACAAACAAACACCAAAAATGACAAACATACACGTATAGTTTCAAACATATTTTCATAAACCTCTTTCCTTTGACTTCCCCATACCCCCCTCTCTGCATCCCAGTGTCCATAGTTCAACTAGCAACTCCCAATTGTTATTTTCCAATCTCTGTCTTCTTAGTCCTTTTTTATATTTCTAACCTTATATCCCTGTATCCCTTTGTTTCTGGAAACCACAACATTTTAGCATTCATTAAGTTTATAGTAGTCCTTAAGATAACTTTTAAATTTTCTCCATTCTTCTTCCACCGTCTCTTTTCGTTGGTCACGGATTCTGCCTGTCATCTCGGCCAATGTCATATAGTCCATCACTTTCATCTGCCATTCTTCCAGAGTGGGTAGATCTTGAGTCTTCCAATACTTTGCGATAAGTATTCTTGCTGCTGTTGTAGCGTACATAAAGAAAGTTCTATCCCTCTTTGTCACCAATTGGCCGACAATGCCCAAGAGAAAGGCCTCTGGTTTTTTAGAGAAGGTACATTTGAGTACCTTTTTGATTTCATTATAGATCATTTCCCAGAAGGCCTTAATCTTCGGGCATGTCCACCAAAGGTGATAGAAGGTACCTTCAGTCTCTTTACACTTCCAACATTTGTTATCGGGCAGATGATAAATTTTTGCCAGCTTGACTGGGGTCATGTACCACCTGTAAATCATTTTCATTATGTTTTCTCTTAAGGCATTGCATGCCGTAAACTTAACACCGGTGGTCCATAACTGTTCCCAGTCAGCAAACATAATGTCATGACCAATGTCTTGTGCCCATTTAATCATGGCTGATTTCACCGTTTCATCCTGTGTATTCCATTTCAACAACAAGTTATACATTCTTGATAAATTCTTAGTGTTGGGTTCTAGCAGTTCAATCTCTAGTTTTGATTTATCCACTTGAAAGCCAATTTTCCTGTCCTGTTTGAAAAGCTCCATTACTTGGTAGTATTGAAGCCAGTTTTGTACTTTATCCTTCAATTTGTCATAACTTTGTAATTTCCACTTATCTCCATCCTGTTCCAAAATTTCCCAATACTTCGGCCATCCGACCTCCATATTGAGTTTCTTTACTGCTTTAGCCTCGACTGGTGACACCCATCTAGGGGTTTTGGTTTCCAACAGATCTTTGTATCTCATCCATACATTAAACAGTGCTTTTCTAACAATGTGATTTTTAAAGGCACTATGCTGCTTAATTTTGTCATACCAAAGATATGCATGCCAACCAAAAACATTATTAAAACCTTCCAGATCCAAGATGTCTGTGTTCTCGAGGAGCATCCATTCCTTCAGCCAGCAAAAAGCTGCTGCCTCATAGTACAATTTTAAGTCCGGCAGGGCAAACCCCCCTCTTTCTTTAGCATCTGTCAATATTTTAAATTTAATTCTGGGCTTTTTGCCCTGCCAGACAAATTTCGAAATATCTTTCTGCCACCTCTTGAAACATTCCATCTTGTCAAGAATCTGCAAGGTCTGGAACAGAAATAACATTCTAGGCAATACATTCATTTTGATCACTGCAATTCGGCCTAACATTGACAATTTCAAATTTGACCATATTTCTAGATCTCTTTTGATTTCTGACCAACATTTTTCATAGTTGTCCTTGTACAAATTCAAATTTTTAGATGTTAAGTATTCCCCTAGGTATTTCACCTTCTTGACCACTGTCAAACCTGTCTCCTCTTGAAATTTCTCCTTTTCCATATCTGTTAAATTTTTCCCTAAAACTTTTGTTTTTTGCTTATTCAACTTAAATCCAGCTACCTGGCCAAACTGTTGTATTATTTCTAAAGCCTTTTTCGTGCTAGTGTTTGGCTCTTGCAAGGTCAATACTAAGTCATCTGCAAACGCTCTCAACTTATAATGTTTAGCTCCGACCTGCACCCCTTTGATCTGCTGGTCATTTCTTATCATATTCAGCAACACCTCCAGAACTGAGATAAAAAGTAATGGGGAAATCGGGCACCCCTGTCGTGTTCCTTTTTCTATCTTAAGTTCCTCAGTCACAACATTATTTACAATCAGTTTGGCTTTTGTTCAGAATATATTGCAGCCATACCATTCTCATAACCCTGGCCTACCCCCATCCCATGAAGATTCTTCCTCATAAAGCTCCAAGAAATATTGTCAAAGGCTTTCTCCGCATCCACAAAGATCAGTACTGCTTTAGTGTTTATATTCACCTCTAGCTTTTCCAGAATATCTATTACATTCCTTACATTGTCTGCCAGGTGCCTTTTAGGGAGAAAGACTGCTTGGTCCCTATGAATCTTCTCCATCAACACTCTTTTAAATCTTTTTGCCAAAATGTCTGCAAAAATTTTATAATCCACATTAAGCAATGATATTGGCGGTAGTTGGCACTGGTATTAGACATTTTGAGCTGCCAATACATTGTGGTGGCCGGGGAGCTGTGATGTATTCCTAGCTCAAATTCCCTGCAGATGACAAAGGCGCAGGCAGGCAGGTGGTGGAGCCCAGAAAGGTGCTCACCTTCTCAATCTCCGCCTGCCTGTCTGCCTCCCCCCACCCCCCAGGGTGAGCAAGCCCCAATACCTCTCTGGCTCCATCCCTCCATGTCCCCATCTCCCCTCCCCTGGAACTCACCAGATCTCTCTGAGAGCCCTAGAGAGGAACGCTCAGAGGCTGTGAGGAGGGATGCAGGAGACAACCTGACCAGGTCAACCGTCCATCTTCCCCCTTCCATCCCCGCTAGCTTTGCAGGATGAATCTCTTTCATCCTTCCTGAAGAGTCAAGGAGCCAAAACAAGCTGCAGGGTCCTGGGAGATAGGAAGAAGCAAAGGGAGCCTCAAAGGCCCTGCAGGGAAGAAGAAGAGAAGAAGATGAAGCGTTTGGATTTGATATCCCGCTTTATCACTACATAAAGGAGTCTCAAGCGGCTAACATTCTCCTTTCCCTTCCTCCCCCACAACAAACACTCTGTGAGGTGAGTGGAGCTGAGATACTTCAGAGATGTGTGACTAGCCCAAGGTCACCTAGCAGCTGCATGTGGAGGAGCGGAGACGCGAACCCGGTTCACCAGATTACGAGACTACCGCTTTTAACCACTGCGCCACACTGGCTCTCACTGGATTCTCCTCCCTGGAGAAGCACAAATGGGGCAGCCCTTCCCAACAGAAACCCCATTTATAAACATTTCCAGTGGTTCCAATTTCCTCTGTTTACTCCTCTCCCCTCTTCGTAAGACCGGCATGGTCTGCACAGTAGAGACCTGAGAATAGATCCCATTGAACTCAGTGGGGCTTATGGAAAGAACTGGGGCAAAAACCAGTCACCATCTTGTCCCCAAGCCTGAAGACTGCAACGCCAGGCATGCTTATCTATGGTATCATAAGGCAAAAGTTCATAAAAGTTTTCATAGTCATAAAGAGCTGTTAACTGAAACTGACAACCAATTAAAATGAAAGGACTTTGAAGAAGTAAGAGAAAATGTAATAGACTGGTTACACTATTTACAACTAAATGAAACTTTTAAAAATCATGAAAAGAAAGGATTTAATCATCAAATGTCAAGATTTCAGAGAGAAATACTAGAAGTAGTATAAAACAGCTGTCAAAAATGAACGATCTGCTTTTGGAATGGGACACTAAAGAGGACCAGGTCAAATGCGTTATGATAAAATGGGCGAAGGATGTGGGACATAATAAATTAATGATGGACTGGCTTTGGAAGTTAGATTTGGAAGTTAGGCCACCGAGACCACATAACACCGGTCTTGACAGACCTACACTGGCTCGCAGTACGTTTCCAAGCACAATTCAAAGTGTCGATGCTGACTTTTAAAGCCATAAACGGCCTCGGCCCAGTATATCTGAAGGAGCGTCTCCACCCCCATCGTTCTGCCCAGACACTGAGGTCCAGTGTCCTTCTGGCAGTTCCCTCCCTGTGAGAAGCCAAGTTACAGGGAACCAGGCATAGGGCCTTCTCGGTAGTGACTCCTGCCCTGTGGAATGCTCTCCCACCAGATGTCAAAGAGAGAAACAACTACCAGACTTTTAGAAGACATCTGAAGGCAGCCCTGTTTAGGGAAGCTTTTAATGTTTAATAGATTATTGCATTTTAATATTCTGTTGGAAGCCACCCAGAGTGGATGGGGAAACCCAGCCAGATGGGCGGGGTATAAATAATAAATTATTATTATTATTATTATTATTATTGGTTTTAAATTTTCTGGTGTTTTGATGGTATTTGTCCCCGGTTAAATTAGCAAAAATGTACTTCTCACTCGCTGGATCAACACCTTGTTGTGGTGAGTGGGCTTGCACGTTCCTATGACCCTTGTGAGCGAAGCCATCGGGAATCTTGTAATCGCAACAGGATCGCCCTACCACTTTACTAATAATAGTGGAAGTGTTGCAGAGAGTGACTCTTCTGAATATTCCTTGTATACCAGTAGTATACAAGGATCGTTACAACCCCAAGTAGCTGATTCCCCAAAGCATCTGCCTGCAAGCAAAAGAAACCTCTGACAAGCACTTGAAGAAGCCCAACCTGGAAATAGAGCCCCATGTGCTTCCCCATCTCAGAAGTCCCACCTGGCCCTGAGGGAACCGGATTCGCAGGAGAAACAGTTCCCCTCTCCTCTCCTCGGACAAGTGAAAGGAAGTCTCCCCTGCTGAAGAGATGGCAGCCCTGCTTGCCTGGAATTCACATATTTGCTGACCACGCTGCACGGATTCTCCCAGTCTCCTCGCTAGAACAGAGGAGCAGGAACATGGTGGCACAGCACCTTCTCCCTCGTCACAGAAGGAGACGCCAGTTACAACCATCTCAAACCAATGCGAAGCTCTTGTTCCTGCAAAAATTACACACAATACAACTGCATGACAATCAAGTGACCTAGCTTTTATCCTGGAATGCGGCCAGGTGGTCTGCATCCAGCAGAAATCCTTGTTTTAAAGACTTCATTCCCACCATTGCATCATAATGATCCTGAAAACATGGATAGCGGATGAGCTGTTACTCAATGGATTTCATTCATTCTCAACTGGGGCAGATCTAGGGGTAAAGCGTGGAAGAGCGAAAGGGGGCCTGGGGGTCTTAGTCTCCACTACCCTAACGTGCCATTTCAAGCCCTCTAGTGGGGTGCCACAGGGTTCTGTCTTGGGCCCGGTCTTATTCAACATCTTATCAACGACTTGGATGATGGACTCAAGGGCATCCTGAATCAATTTGCAGATGACACCAAACTGGGAGGGGTGGCTAACACCCCAGAGGACATGATCACACTTCAAAACGACCTTGACAGATTAGAGAACTGGGCCAAAACAAACAAGATGAATTTTAACAGGGAGAAATGTAAAGTATTGCACTTGGGCAAAAAAAATGAGAGGCACAAATACAAGATGGGTGACACCTGGCTTGAGAGCAGTACATGTGAAAAGGATCTAGGAGTCTTGGTTGACCACAAACTTGACATGAGCAACAGTGTGACGCGGCAGCTAAAAAAGCCAATGCAATCTGGGCTGCATCAATAGGAGTATAGCATCTAGAATTAAGGGGAAGGCAATAGTGCCACTGTATTCTGCTCTGGTCAGACCTCACCTGGAGTACTGTGTCCAGTTCTGGGCACCACAAGTTCAAGAAGGACACTGACAAACTGGAACGTGTCCAGAGGAGGGGCAACCAAAATGGTCAAAGGCCTGGAGACGATGCCTTATGAGGAACGGCTAGGGAGCTGGGCATGTTTAGCCTGGAGAAGAGGAGTTAGGGGGTGATATGATAGCCTGTTCAAATATTATAAAAGGATGTCACATAGAGGAGGGAGAAAGGTTGTTTTCTGCTGCTCCAGAGAAGCGGACACGAGCAATGGATCCAAACTACAAGAAAGAAGATTCCACCTAAACATTAGGAAGAACTTCTGACAGTAAGAGCTGTTCGACAGTGGAATTTGGCTGCCAAGGAGTGTGGGTGGAGTCTCCTTCTTTGGAGGTCTTTAAGCAGAGGCTTGACACCATATGTCAGGGAGTGGCTCTGATGGTGTTTCCTGCTTGGCAGGGGTTGGACTCGATGGCCCTTGTGGTCTTTTCCAAACTCTATGATTCTTATGATTCTAAGTCATAAGCCAGGGCAGGTGTTAATCCAATTCAGCCACCAGGCCCTGTTGGTAATTTACGCTGATGTGACCCCAATGAGGCAGAAAAATCTCAGATCAGAGACTTGTGGATTGAAAGGGAAATTTATACCACTGACCTTATTTTGCTTAACCAAGGCATCTGTAGTTTTAGGAGGGGATCTCAATGCCAGATTAGGCCCTAATCATCATGCCATTTATGCACAGCACAAATGCTCTCCTCCCAACCGTGAAGCCAGTGGATTCCTCCTCACCCGTTTTTCAAAAGATCAGAAATCAAACTTTGCAGGCATCTGCTTGGCTCAAACAGCATTTCAGCTAAACTCTACATCTTAAATGTTGCCCTTGAAAGTGACTATCCTCTCTGGCTCCAGAAGGAGAGCTATAGACCAGGGTCAGCAACCTTTTTCCAGCCGTGGGTCAGTCCACCGTCCCTCAGACCATGTGGTGAGCCGGACTATATTTTGAAGAGAGAGAAAAAGGAACAAATCCCTATGCCCCACAAATAACCTAGAGATGCATTTTAAATAAAGGACATACAGTGGTACCTCGGGTTACATACGCTTCAGGTTACATATTGCTTCAGGTTACAGACTCCGCTAACCCAGAAAATAGTACCTCGGGTTAAGAACTTTGCTTCTAGATGAGAACAGAAATTGTGCTCTGCGGCACGGCACCAGAGGGAGGCCACATTATTATTATTAGCTAATGTGGTTCCTCAGGGTTAAGAACAGTTTCAGGTTAAGAACGGACCTCCGAACGAATTTTAGTACTTCACCCGAAGTACCACTGTATTCTACTCATGGAAAAACCACGCTATTCCTGGACCGTCCGCGGGCCGGATTTAGAAGGCGATTGGGCCGCATCCGGCCCCCGGGCCTCAGTTTGCCTAGCCCTGCTCCTGACCAATGTACTCCAAACCTGCCTGGTGTTTTTACATGAGCAGAATGTGTGCTTTTATTGAAAATGCATCTCTGGGTTATTTGTGGGCCATAGTTCCCTAGACCAGATATAGTCTGCTATATAGTTTGGTATACAAAGTACGTCCTGGAGGCTGACATCCGTATAAACGACCAAACTGATTAAAGAAAGAAAAAAGCTGAGCTACGTTAGAAAAGCGATCCAGCCATAAGAGATCTCGCTCCAATCGCCCTGCTACAAATGTAGCGGTTTCTGCTGTCTCCTGGTCTCCTTGATCTGCCAGGAGAAAAGACACAGTAGCGATGCTGGCCAAGAGGAAGAAGCCCTTCCCTCTCCTCCTCCTCCTCCTCCTCCCTCTTGATCGAGACTCCAGGGCTCTCTCTGCAGGCTCCCCCCTCCAAGACCCCCTCCCCCCTCCCCCCTGGGGCCAAGCAAGAAGAGCGGGGCAGAGCCCCCCCCCGGTTTGGCGCCCCCCATGCACGATCTGGCCAGCCCCCCAGGCATCCTCCCCCGCAGCCCCTTCTCCCCATTGCACCAGACTCACCCCCAGGCAGCTCTTGCAAGAAAGAAAGGGAGACGGAAGCAGCCCCTCCGCTTGCAGGCGGGAAGGGCGAGGGAGGGGCTTTTGCTCAGGAGGACCTGCCCCCCCACGCCCCCCACTTCCTGTCCTCTCTAGAAACCCAGCTCTGTGCCTTTTAACCCTTGGCAAGCCGAGCACAAGCGGAGCAGCGCTCTCTCCTCCCCCCCCCCCAAGGCAGGAGCCCAGGAGGAGCCCGCTAACCCAGAAATATTACCTCGTGTTAAGAACTTTGCTTCAGGATGAGAACAGAAATGGCCTTGGATCCTAAGCCTATGTAGCAAATGCATAGTTTGGGGGTACTCTTGGATACACCTTTGTCACTATAGACCCACGTGTCCTCTAGGGCTGTTTGTGAACAGGAATAGCTTCCATTCCATTCCTGATCCACAAGAGGACCTCTTCTCTTATTCCAGGGCTACTAAGCTTACTCAGGAGGAACCTTGATGAAAATGTCAGGATGCGGTGTCTCTCCCCCACACAACATGACTCCAGCAGTTAATAGTGGTCAAGGGTCTGGAAACAAGTCTCAGGAACGGTTGAAGGAGTTGGGTATGTGTAGCCTGGAAAAGAGGAAACTGGGAGGAGATGTGATAGAGCAACTTAAATATCTAAAAGTCTGTCCCATGGGAGATGGAGCAAGCTTGTTTTTTCTTGCTCTGGAGGGTAGGATCAGATTCAATGGATTCAAGTTCCAAGGAAGGAGATTCTGAGTAAATGTCAGGAAGAACTTTCCGACAAGTAAGAGCTGTTTGACAGTGGAACGGACTCCCTTACCTCAGAAGATTGTGGACTCTCCTTCCTTGGAGTGTTGGACAGCCACCTGTCATGAATGAGTTAAGATTCTCCCATTGCAGGGGTTTGGACTAGATTGCTCTCCTGGCCCTTCCGACTCTACGATTCCCTGAACAAACTAAGCCCAGGAAGGATGGAAAAAAGCTTCAGTGATAAACAGAAATCCTACAAGAGAGGAAGAAACCTTCAGAAGGATGTTAGCGTAGAAAATGTGGAAGATTGTTCAGGTAGAGATCTCATCATAGGGACTTCCGTGTAGAGAGAAAAGATGATTACTTGCACACTGTTTTTTAAAAGATGTACTTTAAATACTTCGTCATTGATTACCGCACCCTTTTCCTTCCAAGCTGCTGCTGTTAGAGATGCATTTTTTGTTACGGCTGTATGGGAGATAAGCAGGTATTAACTTACCTTAGGAAGCATTTTTTCTTATACAGG